CTCCCTTATTCCCTTTCCCTTCCAGGGTTAGGGAAGGGGTTAACAGAGAGCATCTGTTACGGTTCTGGGGCTGCCCTGACCCCAAACTGCGGCACACACAAAAAGGCCAGAAAGACACTGCTGTTATTCAGGATTTTAAAGAAATTTTTACAAGAGGAAACCATATTGTTCCACACTATGGGAACAGTTAAGTGGTAACAAAATATGCTTGAAATACTATTCAGATGTGTAGCTCAACCCCTGCATCTCATTTAAGACACAGTACTTTTCAGAATGCTTACAGAGTTATATGCTCAAATACCACTGACATATAAAAGGAGGAAAACCTATTCAGTTTGATGCATTTGCTATTGGCAGAACACTGAGTTATTAGCTCTGTATTTCCTGGGCATACGTGACTTTGCACAGAGAAGCCTTAGCACTTCAGGAGTGCCAGTGTCCAATTGATGACTGACAAACACCAGCCTTCTGGAATTCAAACCTTCTTTAAAGTGCCTCAACCTGAATCCACAATCACAGGCATGTAAAAAAAAAAAAAAAAAAAAAGGGGTTCTAACCTCTTTTGAAGTTCAGTCATAAGAACAGATTCACCTGAATACCTCTTGTGTATTTATTTAAAATACAACGGTGGAAATTAATGGAGTTTTGGCAATGGATTTTACTTTTTTTTTCCAGTCACTAATATAATATAGAGTGGTTGATACTTTGTTTTAGCAAGGGTCTGTATTTTCCTTTGAGAGCTCCTGTTGAGAAGTAAATGCTACAGGTCTATGAATTTTTGGGTGCAGTTCACCTGTAACACTTGAAACGGTTTGACTAGAACTGCTCTGTTCAGCATTACAGACAGTGGTGATGGTTCTGCTCAGCAGGGGTCACCCATGTGACAGCAGCAGAGGGCCCTAATCAGAGACCAATTTTCCCATTTGCTCCAACACGACTCAAATGTGCCAACCTTAAATGCTACAGGTCTATGAATTTTTGGGTGCAGTTCACCTGTAACACTTGAAACGGTTTGACTAGAACTGCTCTGTTCAGCATTACAGACAGTGGTGATGGTTCTGCTCAGCAGGGGTCACCCATGTGACAGCAGCAGAGGGCCCTAATCAGAGACCAATTTTCCCATTTGCTCCAACACGACTCAAATGTGCCAACCTGCTGAATATTTTGGTGGTGCCAACAATGTATGTTGAGGAATTAAGAAAACAGCTTACATCATGTGGCCTATTTACCTATGATTTCATACATCTGAACATGTACCATACAAGTTATTTGTAAAACTCAAATACAAACATGGTAATTATTTATTAAACATTCAATTTGAGATACTATAACGTACAAACATTTTCTTTACCTGACTAAATAGGTATTAATCTTTGTACTTACCATTTTCCACATATGGGTGAAATGGCAGAACTAATGCTAGAATGACTCTGCCTCTAGTTGGCTCCAGTACACTTCTAATATCTTTTAACACAGTCAGTGGTTGATCACAGCGATCCAGCAAATTCAAACAGCTGATAACATCGTACTGAAATCCTGTGTTTTGCCATTCATTTATACCAAGCACCCTACAAAGGGAAAGAAAGGCTGTTAAACACAAGCTGAGTTCAGAGAGAACCACTGAAGACAAAAATCCCTATGGATGTGTTGGTAATGCAGGTAAGGTCAGCCACCTAGGCAATAAGAGACAGACATGGTCCTTCTCGTCTTCTGGAAAAGAAAACTAAATTAACAATGGGCACAGCTATATATCCAGCCATACAAACCTCTATATTGCCTTAAAAGCATCCGGCAATAAAGGAGACAAGAACCAAAACCCCAGGTATTAACAAAGTGTTGTCTTAGAATAAAACTGAAGGTACTTCTCAAGGAACTACAAAGCTGAAATGTGATTAATGGCATGCTGCCTTCTACCCACTCTGATTTACCAGTGTGCGAACTTGTATTGCAAAGTAGCTGTTACATTTCCATTCAAAGACAGGTGAAGAAAAGATATCCACAGTTCCCTCATTCCTTGGGTTGGAGTCTTGGGATATGGTGCCTGAAACACTAACCATCACTCAACACAACTGGATCTGCTGCCTGCAAGAACCTCCAGGAGCTGTGGTGGAGTGCATGAACAGAGTTCTGAAAGAGCTGAGGTTTTTGTTACTAAGCATTATTCAGTCCTGACAATAGGAGCTAAACACAGAAAGAACAGAAGAATCTTTACACAGTTGTCTATGCCGTGGCATTAGACAGATAAAGATTACTGAGGTATCCCTATTTCCAGGCATCAGTTTGCTTTCTCTGCAGTGCTTGTGTCTCTCTTGCAATTTTGGACCGTTCAGTTAAGACTGCTCATTTGAATTGCATCTTCCTGACTCCCTTCACTGAAGCAATTTACACAAGCTATGAAGAAAAAGACTTCTTTGGTTAGAGAATTTTTGGACAAATAGGTCGTTGCTTATTTCGTCTTAGCTGATAACACAGAACATTCATGTAACAAAAGCACAGGTAAGAGGGAACATCAGATGTGTTTGTTTTCTTGCTTTTGTACAGGTTAACCTTTTCCATAATGGTGAAACAATAGAGGAATTGACTGAAAACATTGAACATTTATTAAGTATTCCAAATAGATAACTTTGCTGCAATGTCTGATATAGAAGATGTAGGAAGCATTCAGAACAATACCTGTATTTCTTCTTCTGAAGCTGCCATATCATAGTTTCAGACAGTTCAGTGGCATAGGTTTCTTCAAAGTGAGGACTCATGACTTTAGTGACTTCTCCATCCCCAGCCCCTAAATCGAGAAGTCTGTGGGATTTCCATTCTGGATTTATTTTAAGCAGTCTTTGAAATTGTTCTGGGGAAAATACAAACATTGAGCCCCTTCCCAGCAGCCTGAAATGTAAAATTGAGAAATGACCATTTTTGTACAAACTTTAACAGAAATGACAATGAGGTAATTTAGAATGTGCTTTGGCAGCAACCAGTCACACGCAATGGCAGACAAGGGCACTGCTCAGATAGATTTAAATCCAGTTCATGTGCCTTGCACTTGTCAGAGATCAAACACGCAGCCACACGCAGTTACAGCCGTTATGACTTCAGGAGGAATCTGATTAGGTAAGGAAGAGCTCATGGGGTGCAGTTCAAGAAAATGGCTGCATTAAAAAAAGAGGGGGGGAAGGAGAGAAAGAGAGGGAAAGATAAAGGCTGAGCCTTATTTGTCACATTTGCAGATTTGAGTCTCTGCCACCTACCTTAAAAAAAAAAAAAAAAAGATGAAATAGCAAAGGAAATAAAATGCCTGTGGACACAGAAGTCTGCACAATGAGTGAGGACTAGGATGTGGAACTAGGAGGGAAGCCAGGGAACAGATTTAGAGAAAGGATGGGGGTAACTGCTGGAGAGGCAGAAGGTATCGTTTTAATTGTACGTTACAATGGCTTTTGCTGCTATCTGCAGATCCTGCATTCAATATGAAGAGCTGTGGAATAGAAAATAGGCAACTCATTAAGGAATTGGGTAGAGGTGACAGTTGGATTCTTTATGGATCAAGTCAATGACATCCCCACCCGCAACTGTTTGAAGACTACATAGTGACAGATTTCAGCTGTTGTAGCAGAATTCAGAGATGAAAGGGTTAGGAGAACAAGCAGAGGAAAAAACTGGTCAGTAATAGTTTAAAGAATAGTATTTATCTGCTTTCAGTCTAATGTTAGGTAGCAGGTTAAACTTAAAGACAACGAACAGAGATGTTCAAGTGGGGAAAAAAGGTAAACAAAGATAAAAAGAATTGAATAAAAAAAAAAATGTGGAAAGGAGGTGGTTTAGGAAAGACTGACTGTACTAAAACCCATATAAACAAAACAAAAGGATAGAGTATACAAAGTCATACAGAAGTGAAAGCAGGATATTAAATGTATATACCCAAAAAGAATACAGCCAATCTAAGGAGAGCCCCCGTGCAGCATGACTGTGTCACTCCACACTGTATAATTGGCTCATAGCTATTACTCCTAACAGCACTATGAGGTGTTATTCAAAGCGCTGGAGAGCCTTTGAAGAAAAAATGGAAGAGAAAGGAAGAGAAGACCAAAGGAACCCTTATACAAAGCTACAAGTAACTAAGAACACCATAGGGAAGCTCATAATCTAGTTAGAGAATAAGGAAAAATATTATTTTTCTAGCCTTAGTAGACAGCTATTATCCTCATATCAGACTCTGCAGAAATATGTAGAAGGTAAAGAGGTGGGGATGGTGGAGAAACCAGGTAAATGTAACAAAAGGCACTCCTCCTAAGGTCAAAACTGATAAGCTATTAAACTTATGTCTGGATGGGGTGACTTGAGCAAAAAGAGGCACTGACTGTTTTTGAAACAATACTAAAGCACCCATAAACAAACCTGCAGCCACCAAAGGGACCTGATGCGACAGGACTAGGAGAATATTGTTTTATAAACTTCTCTTTTCGTGCCTTCCTGATGTTTCATCGGTCAAGCAAGCTATGTCAGAAGTTATCTGTTCAACTACATCTTACACACAAATGGAGGCGAAATTAAGTTTTACAGAATAAGAGAAAGGACAGAATTCTGTTTGACATTAGTGTTACCAGACACGCCATTCAGCCAACTTCTGCACTGTTTAAAAACCTGCCTAGGTTTGCAATGGGGGTGCATACCCTTGCCAGTACAGTTTTAGATGCAACACAGAACTGACTGGATACAGCCACTGTCAAAAAGGCCAAACACAACAGTAACTGACAGAGGTATGGCAGCAGGTAAAGGGCAGGGGGGAAGGAAAGCAGAGGGAAGAGGGATACATTGTCTAACACACAGAACACTCTCTTATTCAGAAGGAAACTTATACAAGTAACACTTATAAAATACAATTAGAGTCCTTCAATTGTCTCTTTTTAATTGCAGCTACCTCCTCTGTTCCCCCACACTGGAAATGGCATTTCTCAGTTAAGAGGGAAGCACAGGAGGGCATTTCAGATCTGTTAAGACTGGCAAAGGGAAAACTACAAATTCAAGAAAAGCTGCCAGATCGAAGGGTAGGGCTGAACACTTGAACTGTAAAACCAAACTGTATTTATTTTCCTAAGATTGACTTTTCACTTACCCATTGATAGATGTTCTAGACATAAAGAGGCTAAAAATCGAGGAGACAAAAGAGTGATAGAGCTGGATAAACAGCCAGCCTGATTTCTCAATGCTGTTGTTTAAGAAGAGCTGTGTTCCTTGGTCAAGGTAACTCTGGACAAAAACAGGCTGAAGGGATTCAGACAACTGTTCTGTGTTGCAGATGTACCACTAGAGAAAGAGATAAAGGACCATTAAAAAGCTCAGCAATATAAAACCAGAAGTACTTAAAACAAATTGAAAACATGGAAGGCTATTATCAATTTCTGTAAATATAAAAATGCAATTTTTACTACAGACTCTTCAACAAGCTTCAGGATTAATTTAATGTGGATTTGAATTGTAACCAAGTGAGGAACTGTTACTCGCTAAGAAATAATGCTTTTAAATTGTCTTAATCATTATCCTGTACTTTGAAGAATTCTAAAAAGTAAATTCCTTAGAAAGTAAACAAAGGTTCTCTATGGAACAGCATTGTGCTGATCAAATAGGATGAAGCGGGCAAACATTGTTTTCTGTCTTCTAACTCATTCTCAAGTTTTCCCTGGGCATGCTCTGGAAAGAAATCAGGAATTGCATTTGTAATATTTTTCCAGGAAAAGAGGTAAAGAATCCAATCAATACCTTCGATCACAGCTTCCCTGTCTTACGGCATTGCTGGACTATACTTCTTCACTTACTAGTACCAACAAGGAGGCCCACAAGTCTTTTGAAACAATTTCATCTATGAAGCCGACTTCCAGCATCCCTACTAAAAAAGGAGCGGGCTCCCCTATCTCAGAAGTCATCAGTAGCAGCTGAAAGGCAGTTCCACACGTCTGTGTTGGTAAAACCTTCAGCCCAAGCTAAAATGGGCCAACGATTCCTTCTGCCTTGTGTTACCTGGTAACAACCACCTCTATACAAACTAAACTAACTCCGATATGCAAGCTAGTGCTCAATTAACTGTGAAGAAAAAATTGCTACTTTTTGCTGTAAAATCTAGCTGGAAAAGTAACACACCATACCACAACCTAGTATTTTACTATCTATGTGTAAGACTTATTTAAACTCCTTAACACCTGCTTTATATTATTTTAAATGCAAAAAAATTGTGCAAAACAAGGCAAACACAGAAATTCTGCAGTTTTAGGAGCCTTACTGACACCTTCTGCACCTCCAGCAAATGCCTCTAATGCTGCAGCATGCTAGAATTTCAGCATTGGTAATAAAATTCAAAATGTTGCTCATTTGCTAGGTTGCACTGCCAAGCTAAAAACCCCTCTCCACTCAATATACAGTTACAAACACAAGTTTTAAATGTAATTGATTAAGAATATCACTATTATTTTTCACTTGCCTACACACATGCAGTTATTGTCAACTCTTCTCATTGAACCTCTAATGCCACTGTGTCTGGTTTTCAATATCAAGAACTATTCCCTACAGCTAACACTCTCTCATCTCCCCCTTAATTCTTATAGAAATGTTCCCCAATCAGGCTGCATGTGTTTATTGTGCAGATAGGGAATTATAAGCATCTTAAAGAGAAATGGAGAGTTTTAACAGAGTCTTGTACAAATGCACAGAGAAGGACAGCAAACAATCAGCTGGGGTAACTCCCCAACGATTTAACACCTCGGATTGTGTCTACACCCACACTAAGCAAACTGCAGGCTCACGTCCTGATCCCTTCACGTTTCGTGTACCTTGCTGGGACAGGAAGAGTCACAACACACACCTTTACAGTGCTAAGCACAATGGGACTTCCAGTAACTACCATAACACAAATTATATTGGGAGTGGATTCTTATTCCAGTGCCCTGCTGCTTCATAGTAATGGTGTGAGCAAGAAGAGGGGAAGAGTGAGCTGCTCTAAGACCATTATGCCAGATTCATAAACAGGGTCTCCTCCAAACACCGACCCAAAGTGGCAAGGGACGTCATGACCCTTCGGCCAAGCAGCAGACAGATGCCTGCCTAGGTACACTTTGAAAATCACTTGGATGATGGGCACATTTCTGGCAGAATCAGGCTCTCAACTGTACTTTCAAACACGCTTGTAAGTAGCACAAGTAAGTGATCCTTTCCTCCAAAATACAGATTTTGAGCAAGTCTGTACCACATGATGGAGCCTGGCACAGGGATCCCTCAGACTGCTGATGTACCACTTCAGGTCTTTTCTTGCTGCAACACAGGGCTGCTTAAATGAATCAGCATAGTATGGTTCCCAAAAGAAATCCTCAGCAAATAATGAAAAAACACTAAGGCAGCAGCCTGTGTACTCTGTCCATCCATCTCCAGAAGCCAATGTCAGGACCCTGGCAGAAGCAAAAATCCCGAGGAGCAGAGGAGCAGGCTGGGATATGTGACTGGTTCATTCATGAGGCTGCTGCCTCACTACACTGGATAGGCTCGGAGAGGCACAGATCATCTGCCTTGTTCAGGGTGCTGCCATTCTCAGCCCAAAAGAAAATGTATTCAATTCTCAAAGTTTTGGGAAACACAGGCTGTGTCCCATAAGCAATATGACTACATACATGCCATGCCTGAGCTCATACACCCTGCTTCTGCACTGAGCTGGCACCTGGAGTTCCAGGATCTGATTAGGGAAACCAACAGTCCTACAGGTCTTGTCTTTAAGACCTCCTGATATACATTGATGTCGCCATTGTCAGAATGATGACAGACAACTGTGAGCAGAGAAGCTTGTTTCCAGAAATGAGGCACTGTTCACAGATGTCCTCTAAATTCTTCTTCATGGTTAATCTTTCCAGTAGGTTATTGACAACTACCTATATAACACTAGTGAATTACAGAAATGACAACAAACTATAAGAAGAAGAAAAAAAAAAGATAGCAACACAGGATAAATCCAATCTAAATTTCAAATGACAAATCTGGTGAGAACCAGCTTAATTCCGGAACCACTTCCTCATAACGGAAACTGCTTGTTTACCTCCATGTATGAGGAGTCCTTTTCAGGTCATTAGTCTCATGATATAAAGTGTATCAATTTCTTATCGCACAACAGTAGAAAAACCACAGCACAAAAATCTGAAAAGACACACTAAGGCCTTTGTTATAATAAAAAAATACAATTATTGACAACTCTTGCCTAATATTAGTGAAAGAAAGTGTACTTTCTAGTACAGTTTCTTAACAACACAGAAGACTTTCAGATTTTCTTTGTTCGCCAGAAGGAAGTTCTTTCTGTAATTTCTGCTTCTCTTTGTACTGAAATACTGAATGTTCCAATGAGCAGACCATAGTCAGCAAACCCCAGCAACAGGCACTCAGTAGCAAGATTCTGAATGTTAGTGCCCAACCAGAGCACTAAAAAACCTCCAGTAATGGATCAGCCTGAAGAATTACAGTGCATAATCATGTTCTTCCTTTGTACAGCAGTCCTCGAGTATCTATGCTACGTCTTCCTCATTAGCTCGGCTCCGTATATTTTACTTACAATAGGTCAGCATCTTCCTTCAGCACCAGGAGTTATTAGTCCTTCTGCACTCCTGTCAGATTTTCAGTAGCGTTTTGGCAAAATGCAGTGCAGATCTGAACATCCTCCAAATGCACTATAGCACATAACCATCGCACTGCAAGGGTATAGTCCCTAACTTCTCCACAAAGTGGCATCCACGTGCCTACACTGCCCAAATGCAGCACTAACCTTTTATTGTAGTGTACCACATTGCAAACTCATTTCTAGTTTGCCAGGTACTACTGTCCCAAGGCCTCTGCCAGCTTCGCGGTTTCCCAGTCGCTTACTTTTAAAATTTTTCCTCTAGATACGCCAGTCTCAATTAAAAAAAGTCTGACTACAAACCCATCCCATTCAACACCGCCTGCAAACTTCATCCGAGCGCACTCGCACAGCTCTCCAGGAAAAACGCGAACCGCCGGTTT